CGTCTCCGTTGGCGAATCCCATATATTCGCTTGGGTGCGACCTCTATGTCAGGCGCTTTGCAAGGCCTTGCCTACTACGCGTACGCACACTTCCCTCTCCTAACAAGCAAGCGCCTTGGTACGCGCACGTGATCGGTCCTATCCGCATAGCACTGCTCGTCATTGGTGCAGTGTAGTAGTATAAACATCCAAAGGTCGAACATACTTGGTCGAGAGGAAGTGGTGGTCACCGTCACCGCACCCATTGGTGTCATTCTCGAACGTTATGACGGGGCGATATGCATGTGTCGTCCGTCTCGGATATTGCCGTCCTGGCCTTGGCCAGCACGGTTCAGCGCAAAGTCTACTTGGGAAAAGGACGTCCAGCGCACATTGGTCGCGCTCGTCGACGACCCAAGGCGAGTTCAATTCCCGAGTGTGGCTTGCGTTATCCAAGGCAGCTCAATACCACCGCGTCAAAATGCTACCTGATCTGATGCTGATCCCAACCGCGGTTTTGACCGAAAGGTAGCGATTGAAGTTTCGTACAGACTAGGTGCTATCCTACTAGACAGCACTCACGGACGCATAGGCTGCTGTCGACAGCGATGGTGGTTTGGCGTGGTGTGCCATGGCCGATCGAAGCAGCGTGAGCACCTCGCGCTTGCTTTTCGCATTGCCACACTTGAGAAGCATCGTATGCCATTGTCCGTCAAAGCGCTGCGCGCGCAGCAAGAAGCTCGTGTTGGCATCCCACGACGGGTGTTTCTGCACGTCGATTTCGTCCAGCGCGAGTTGGCTCCACGCAAATTGCTTGCGCACCTAGGTTGGCTTGTATCACTCTTTCAAAGCATCACGTATCCTCTACCTTGACACGCTGCTTGCGCATCGGCTTGGCGACCAAGAGCATGTCGGAGAGGACAATCAACGTTCGTGGTCGGGCGACCCAGAACGCCCACGGCGCCAGCGACAGGGTCGACACCACCTGAACATCATCACAAGTCGTGAGCGCCTCGTCAGTGTCGTAGGTGTTGTACGTAAAGGTGGCAGTCGCCGAGAAGGTGGCGGGTCGGGAGACACAACTCGGGGCAGCGAGGGCCCACGAGTCGCGATCTCAGTTCAAAGAGCTTGAGGTTGTTTTGCTCGGCGCGCACGCGTTCGTTGACGAGGGCGGCGACGTCCTTGACGTCCACGAGGAGGTCTTGGAGCGGCCCTGACAGCGACGGTGGCGCAAACGAGAGCCACTCGCGGATCAAGAGCGGGTACCGACACAACCGCTGGACGGGCTTGATCATTTCCGACTGCATGTCGACCTGGAGCGACCGCGACGCGTGGCAGAGCTGGACGACGAACGCTTGGCACTCGGGCGCGACGCGCGTGACGGGCCGCACTTGGAGGAGCGTCGTCACCTCCTTGTACGCAGAGCAATAATGCGAGTAGAGCTTGAAGAACGGAAGGCGTCGACGCAGCGCCTGTATGATGTCGTGGCTGTGCGCTTCCAGTAAATGGTCTTGGACGCGGTCGGCCAAGGTCGGTAGCGACGCGACAAACTCGCCGTGGAGCGCGTGGAGCGACATGGTCGTTGCATATAAAGTAGTGAGCGCCGGGTGGTCGAACGCAGCGTGAAACACCTTGTCGAAGACGCGCTTCATGGCTTCGAGTGCGCTAAAGTAGGCCATCTCGGTCGCTACAAACTCGTGCAACACGGCGTAGCACTGCACCGACGGGTGCGGTGTATGGTTCGCGTCGTCGTCGTCCCAGAGATCCAGCGGCATCAAGTCGTCATCGTCCGAGTCACTCGTGTCCCGGCGCCGACACTTGGTGTACATCGTATCGGCTTGCAGCGCCGGGTGCTGTCGCCGGAACGAGTCGAGGCGAATCGGGTGCCCCGAGAGCAAGTGGAGCTGCGAGAGCCGGCGACAACTAGTCATGGACGACGCCGACGACGACGAGACGGTCGAGACACGCAGCTCGTCGTCCGTGCGCTTCCATTTGTGGCCGCTCAAAAAGTTGGGCAGCCGCAGCGTCATGCGCGACGCCCCGACGCACGGAAAGTGAGCATCTTCAAGCCCAACATGGCGGGAAAAATCGCTAAAAATATACAACTAACTCGCCAAATCTTTACGTTATGATGGCGGGACAGCTCTGCAGTTTCCATGCAGCGAACGGACTGTGTTGGTTTGCTTTGCCATCCCTCGAGTAATACGACCAACACACTAGCACGTGACTATACCATCCTTTGATGGAGTCGTGGCTGTCTCAACGCCAACGCCGCGAGCCTGCATTGGTCTTGCTGGACCAGGCTGAGACGACCGATGCCATCTTGCTCACAAAGGCGACCCATTTTCACAAAAACAAGCAAATTACGTGATTGTTGCAGCAGCTACACGTCGCCCGAATCGCTGGTCACCAAAACCGCGACGCTGGGCCGCAAGGCTCAACTCGCTATGCCGCTCGGCGTTTCAAGGACGAGCAACTCGTGCCATCGCTGCGGCTCCAAGACCCGTGGTATCGCACCGCACACGATGGCAACCCAAGTCACCTACAGAACCTCGCTTGCAAGGCATGTACCTCACCAGAGAATTCGAGTCAAAGGAGATGATGATCATCTTCGAAGGCTAGAAAGGCCACCGTGTACATGGACGAGACACGCGCTTGAACCTGCAACTAACCTTAGTGGCTCGTCGTAGCGGACGAGAACTCGCGTTGCTGGATCTTGTGGCATTTGGGACCACTCGGTGCTCACTGCTTCCTCACACACGCCATGCCAGCCAGCCTTGGCGAGCTCAGCGCCTCGACACGATGGGCTTCAACGACAGCGGCTCACGCCCACGGTTAGTGCAGACCACCTCTGGTACGAGCGGATAAAGACAGCGTTCCTCAGCGTTGACGGGATCGGATTTGTCATCAACGATTCATTGGACACGCTTGCTTCACGTAGCATCTCAGCACCACATGATTGCGCAATACTGCGAGCCTCGCGGCGACCTCGCTCGGACGCACTGAAGCGACGTTCAACGTGGCTTTTCCATGAGCCCAAGCCAAGGACATCCAAGGAGGTGTGGACCACGCTAGTCAACTGTTTGTTGTGCGTCCATCGTCCTTGTCCGACCCTTCAACCTTTTCGCGCGGCGCGGGGCCAAAGCTTGTCCGACCCTTCAACGAATCCGGCCGTCCTATCCAACCAAACGACCACGCCGACCGACGACGGCAATGGATGGCAGCGGTGCCAACCCACGTATGGACGTGCGAAGGGCACCGGCAGCTGCGTGGCGCCGGCGTGCGCTGGCAGGCACACCCGATGGCGCGGCGTCAACCGGGTACCTTGCCCGCCATGGCGGCTCATCCGAGTATACTTTCGACGCTGCATTCAATGGTAGCTTCTTTGACCTTGGCGCCAGTCCCGTACGGCGTCAATTCGCAGAGACGACTGATACCAAGCGGCTTAGTCTGCGCTGATAACTTGGCCACAAGAAAATATTTTCCACCGAGCTTGATGGGCGCCTTGAACGGATGCTTGAAGCAAATCGCTTGTCGCGCGCATACCCAGCGTACCACCGCCTCATTATTGGCCACATACACAGTCGAAAATGCATCTGGCAGCGGGCGATCCATTGTCTTTAAAATCGATATTTTTATTCGATCTTGCCGTTTGTATGCAAAAGCAGGCGTTTGGTTAAAAAATAGAGTCACCTCTACCTGCTGCGACAGCCGGTGCGAACGTGGGTTGCAAAATGTCTTGAAGTTTGTATACTCCTCGGCGGTTGCGATTCTTGTGGTATCCAGCACTCGAATATCTTTGGCGGCCACGAGCCGCTCACTTTGCATTTTCACGACTAAGAACTAGCAGCACCATGTGCGGGATCGTCGCCATCTATGCGTCCATGCTGAGCAACGACGAGCTGCGCAAGGCCATCCTCGAGGCCGGCAAGAAGTACGTGCTATCGCGTCCAGCGCTCGTGAGGCTAACCATGGTATTTTGTAGGATTCGCCACCGCGGACCCGACTGGAGCGGCGTGCGCATCTTGCCCAAGGGCATCGCCATCGAGCACGAGCGCCTCGCTATCATCGACCCCGAGTCAGGCGCGCAGCCGCTCGTCTCGAACGACGGCACGATCACGCTCGCGGTCAACGGCGAAGTCTACAACTACAAGGAGCTCGCGGCCGCCTTGCCGACGCCGTATGCGTTCAAGACCAAGTCGGACTGCGAAGTCATCATCCCGCTCTACAAGCAGTACGGCCCGTCGTTCGTCTCGAAGCTCCGCGGCATGTTCTCGTTCGTGCTCTACGACTCGACCGCCGACGTGCTCCTCGCCGCGCGCGACCACATGGGCATCACGCCCTTGTATTACGGCTACGCGGCCGACGGCAGCGTCTGGTTTGCGTCTGAAATGAAGGCCATCGAGCACGGCTGCGTCCGCTTCGAGTGCTTCCCGCCGGGCCACGTGTTTCACAGCAAGACGGGCGAGTTTACGCGCTGGTACAACCCGTCGTGGATGGAGCCCAACCACCTTGGCACGAACCCGCTCGACCTCGCCAAGCTCCGCAATGCGTTCGAAACCGCGGTACACAAGCGCATGATGTCGGACGTGCCGTGGGGCGTGCTCCTTTCGGGCGGCCTCGACTCGTCGCTTGTCGCCTCGATCGCCGCGCGCCACCAAAAAAAGATGTTTGCCGACGGCGACAAGTCGGAGTGGTTCCCGCGCCTCCACTCGTTCACGATCGGTCTCGAAAACTCGCCGGACCTCGCGGCCGCCAAGGAGGTCGCGTCCTTCCTTGGCACGATCCACCACTCGTACACGTACACGATCCAAGAAGGCCTCGATGCGGTCGCCGACGTCATCTACCACCTCGAGACGTACGACGTGACGACGATCCGCGCGTCGACGCCCATGTTTCTCATGTCGCGCAAGATCAAGGCCATGGGCATCAAGATGGTGCTCTCGGGCGAAGGTGCCGACGAGGTCTTTGGCGGCTACCTCTACTTCCACAAGGCGCCCAACAAGGAGGCGTTCCACAAGGAGACTGTCGATAAGCTCAAGTCGCTCCACCAGTACGACTGCCTCCGCGCCAACAAGGCCACGTCTGCGTGGGGCCTCGAGGCGCGCGTGCCGTTCTTGGACGCCGACTTTTTGGACGTGGCCATGAACATTGACACGCAAGAGAAGATGTGCGACCGCGCAAGCGGCCGCATGGAGAAGCACATCATCCGCAAGGCGTTCGACACGCCGGACGAGCCGTACCTCCCGGCGCACATTCTGTGGCGCCAGAAGGAACAGTTCTCGGACGGCGTCGGGTACGGCTGGATCGACTCGCTCAAGGACTGGGCCGAGCGCGAAGTCTCGGACCGCCAAATGCAGCACGCCGAGCTCCTCTTCCCGTACAACACGCCACAGACGAAGGAAGCGTACTTTTACCGAAGCATCTTCTCCAAGCACTTTGAAAAGGAAGTCGCGGCGCAGACGGTGCCGGGTGGCCCGAGCATTGCGTGCTCGACGCCCGCCGCCATCGAGTGGGACGCAGCCTTCAAGAACGCCGCCGACCCGTCCGGCCGCGCCATCGCCGGCGTCCATGTCGACGCATACAAGGGCCAATAAGCACACCACCTAATACTACTAGTCTACTACATCTTATCGCTTCTTATTGCACGCGAAGGCTTTGGCTCGTGGGACTGCAATCGAAGGCTCGTGAGGCACGGTGAGCGGCTCTCAGGGTGTGCAAGGAAGCCTCCGTGGCGTCCTTGAAATGTCGTCGCATCGCACGGAGATATCCGCGGACGGGCAAAGCACGAGGTTCCTACCCTGGGCTTGTGACACGACGCTGTGGGTTGAGGGATATCCGTGCTGGCGAGGTGCCGAGAATTACCCTACCCCTCCGATTTTTCATCTTTTTAAAAGATTATCGCCTCCGCGAAAAGAGAGAATGGCACGAGATAGTCTTGTGTTGCACGACAAAAGACGCGTCGGAAGGGAATATCCCCATTTACAAAACGGCAATCTCGGCAAGATACGATGCAAATGACCAAGTGGGAAGAGGTCGCGGACGAGACAGGCCGGAGCTACTACGTCAACCGGGTCACGGGCGAGACGCAGTGGGAGGCGCCACCACCGCACGAGCTGCTCGCGACGACCGACGACGATGAAATCTTTGTCGACGCTGCCTTGCTGGCGCGGGCGCTCGCCATCCGCCAGCGACTGGTCGCGGCCGCGCCGCTGCAGTCGCCGACGCATTGGATTCGCATGTTTGACCCGACGCGACACGAAGCGTACTACTTCGATTGCGTGGCTGGCCGGCTGCAATCGGCGGCGCCCGAACACCTCGTTCTCGACGACGCGCTCGCGGCTTGGTGGCTCACGCTGCAGTGCGCACTGCGCTCGGCGCTCGCCCGCCGGCGAGTGGCCTACAAGCGACTGCAGCGGCGGTACCCGATTCTGCCTCGGCCACTTGCACTTTTGTCTCTGGCCTTGGTGCGTCTACCTCTGTTTAGCTTTTCTTACCAGCGTGGTCGTAGGAGACTGAGAGCCACCGGGAGGCTGACGAGCGGCGAGGGCTCTTGCACGCAGAGAAGGCGCAGTGCTCGCAGAGCGACCGGTTCTGGGGCCTTGACCAAGTACGGCATATCGTCTTGGCACGGATGGTGCTGACCGTGGATTCCGTAGCGCATTGTCGAGATTCGCCGGCAGCTCGTGGAGGAAAGCATGCTGCGCGAAGCCGAAGAGATGCGTCGCAAGCTCAACGTACAGAAGCGCTGCGGAATGCAGCGTTTTGCGCTGAATACACTTTGGATTAGGAAAACGCCCGGCGACGCGAAGACAGCTTGCGCAAGGCGGCCGAAGAGCAGGAGCGGAAGCGCCGGTCAGAAGACAGTTTGATCGAAACCCACGAGCGCCAAGGCATGCAGCTCCAAGAGCTACTGCAGTGCAAAGTCGACACGTTTTGGGGTGTTCAAAAGCAAGAGAATGACGAGCGGTGGTATGCACACAAGAGCTCGCCGTCTTCTCCAACGACGGTGTAGCTGCCAAGACCAAATGCTGCTCGAAGATGCAGCGTCAGCACGCTATGCACAGGTAGGCGCTGGCTTTGGCATTCTTCTCGCACGCACCGAGCGTATTGCAGGACCTACTGGAAGCCCAGCTGCACGCGCGATGGGCGTTGGACGCGGCGCGGGCCCTTGAAATGGAGAAGAAGAAGCGGCTTGGTGAAGAGATCAAGTTTCAAAAGCAGTACCTCAAGGTACGTATCGATGGACGTAGCGATCGGTGCATCCACTGTCTTGTAGCTCTTTCAGCGGGCCACGACGTCGCAAGTTGTGATCCGGTACCGCTGGCCAACGCTGCAGGTCGTCGAGCTCGCAACCAAGCCCAAGGTTGCTACGGAGGATAGCGCGTACAGCCTCGACGTGGTCCTCGACCCGGTGCGGCGGGCAACACCAAAGCACACGTTTCACTCGGCGAGCGGAAGTCACACGGTAGACGACGTTTGTGTACAATTTGATAAATAGTCCTTCGTACTAGGTGGGGCGAAAAGGCAAATTGGAGATTTCGCAGCCGCCGCCCTGCTTTCGGCTGGACCAGCCGAGCCCCCACCCAAAAGTACAGTCTCTCTAAGGTCACATAGTACTCGCCATTAAATTGAGAGTCTAGAAGCCGCTCAACCCCAACCAACCTGCGTCGGCCAACGGTCTGCCCTTTCGCGTACCCACGGTGCCTCGCTCATGCTTTTGCCGATTCTCGAACCGCGTCATAGAATGCTGGCGTCGAAGCCGTCTTGGGTCGCCCCCTCGAGAAGCGCAAGAGCGTTCAGCTCCCGTCGATGGTCATCGCACCGAGCAACCAGCAGCCCGAGCCGACAGACACACCGCAGGTCGTCGACGACAGCATCGACGTGGCTTCAATCCAAGAGCAGTTTGGTCCGGAAGAAGGCAGGAGGCTTTCTCGTTGTATTTGGTCAAGAGGAACTCATGCACTGTGCTGTGGTAGTGGTGCTGCAACAGATCTTTGAGCTCATCGACACGGACCACGGCGGCACCATCGACAAGGACGAAATGGTCGCCCCATTTGCGATAGAATCGGATTCGGAATTTGAATCGGAACCTAGATGTGGGCGCTCACACGCGATGCAGTCATCCACAAACTCGCCATGACCTCGGTCGTCTTTCGGGATGTCCTCAAGAAGCGCAACCTCGAAGCGCTCTTTGAGGAGATGGATGCGTCCAAGACAGGCGCCGTGCCCTGGCACGTCTTCCGGTCCTACTGCGAAAAGACGTTTTTTACGCTGCAACTGGAGACAGCGCGAAAGTTGCGGCTGAAGGGACCGCAAGTGCTCTTGAGCAAAGAAGAACGCTTGCAAAAGAAGAACGACGAGTACAAGGCGCGCAAAGCCATTTTGGATCAAGAAGAAGCCATTGCAAAGGTCATACTTTCTGTCGTAGCCAGACTCTGTGGACAATCTGGCTTAGCTCGTGTTTGCACTCGTCGACACGGACCACAGCGGCACGATCGATCAGAAGGAAATGATGCAAGCGCTCGAGCTCAACGAACACGTGCGCGCGTTTGTCCAGCGGTCGAGCGGCCTCCAACCGCTCTTGACCAACCCGGTACTATGACAATATCTTCCATTGTGCTGTGGACCCATGTATAATGCTAGACGTTTGCCAAAGCGTTCATTGGCATGGCCACGGACGTCGAGAAGGGCATGGGCCTCGACGAATTCATGTGCTTTTGCACGGAAATTGCCTCGGTCGCCATGCTCAACGGGATGGTGCCCTCGACCTAGTTCTTTGAGCGATAGATAAACTTGGTAGCTTGAAAACCGTTTGTCGATTCTTGAATCGTCGATTATCGCGACAGAAACCGAGGAAATGAATGGACAAAACTGGGAGGAATGCACCGTTGTTGGTCCGTGTGGGTTGCTCGGGACGTTGTTGCTGTCGCCTCTGTTTTGCTCGGGACGTTCGCTGTGTTCGCACCCGATCGCGACTGCTGCGCCGTCGCAGTGACGCGCATTCCATCACGTCCCGGTTTATTGCTAACATTAGAAAAAATTCGAATCCGCCGAAATAAGATATGATCTGATTTTGGTTGAAGAGAGTTTGTAAAGATCACTTGTGAGGAATTTGCTCAACAGGATCAGCTGAAATGCACAAGCCATGGACGCTGTGCCAGTCGGACGCTCATTGCGAAATCCAAGTCTGTTCATACACCCCGAATTCAGCCACGACAACTCGACGCAGAGTGGGACTCCGTCGACAAACGACCACACATGTGGTACCAGTGTACTCGTGGTCCAAGCAGCGCAATTTAAGCAGCCCAGTGAATTGCACTGAATTGCTTTGGGTGGTTGCAACTGCGTCCATCTACGAGCTCGCAAGGAACCGAGTCAAGCGCACCTTGAGAGCAAAAATTCGGCGCACCAAGGGCAATGTCGACCACCGTGCAGGGTGTGTTGGGTTCGAAATCGAACGGACGCCAAATTTCAGCAATGATGGGGTGTCCCAGAAGAAGTGTCGGTGGCCTCGTAGATACCACATTCGAATCGACGGTTCGTAGGTGGGCAATTCATTGCGATAGAGGCCGAGAAGGTTACGCACAATGCGTCCCTTGTTCGCGGTTCGCGCAGGCAGGTGAAAGATCGTGGCTATTATAGCATCCGACAACATATGTTGATGCACCATGTGGTGGAATTCCCACAGACAAGTACATGCTTCATAGGGAGTCGTTGTGTTGCCCAACCCGAGGACGTGGACAAGACGAGAGTTTTTATCGCAAAATGGATCTCTACAGTGTGTGGGTGTACTGTAGAAGAAAGGTGGATCGGGCATACGGGTCTGCCAGGAGCTCCAGCCTTTAGATCCAGAAGTTAACGCGATTCTCTGGCAAGATACTCGAACTTGCACATGGGAAGAGACGCCGCCTCGTGAGCGATAACGGTGGCCGCGGGATCGCGCTGAAGCCCGTGTCCAATATCCTCGCAGCTGCGCCGCGCTACGCGGCACTTGTCCTCTACGCTGTCCAATCAATTGTCGCTCGCTCTGCAACCATTCCAGCCACCCAGCTACCCACCCACATCTCGTCTCGGCGCGAAATAATTTATTTCCCGAGGGTCTTGTGGTGGCGGTGATCGGCCCAGATAGAAGGACGTGGAGGTGGGAATTCTCTGATCAGCTTGGATCGATCACACGGGATCGGTTGGTACGCGTCGTGGCCACCCGAAGAGACGAGCGATGCGCAAATATATATTTGGCGCCAACATACATAGGTGCTGCCGTCGATATGTGCGCCGTGTGACGATCCACCCTTCTCACTATGGGTTGCCCACATAGTCGACATGGACATGGAGTCACACGCAGGTCAGCTCGCTTGCCTTGCATACACACGCGGACGGATGATCGATCACGCGCTTGGTCGTACACATGGACAGAACAAGGGTGCATAGGGCTGCGTATACATGGACACTCACACTTCTGTGCTCGTGCAAGCCAATGTGTTTCGGGGCGTCATACACCGGGTTGTGCCCACCACTCGCTTGGCAACTGGATTTATGATTCCACTCCTAATATAATTGCACAATTTTTCTCGTCGAGCTAAATGCAAAAGGGCACTTTAAATCAGCTCTTTTCTCGAGCGAGTCGCGTTATGACGTCTCGTGACCGTCTCGACTCGACGAGCTCCAGCAAGCAAAGCAATAAAAATGTTTGGTTGTTGTTTGCTGTTTGGTTGTCGACGCGGGAAAGCTACTATTAAAAATACTACTCGGTTGTTGTCGTTCCCAGCTTCGAAAGAGTGAAGCTCCACACGTTTGCACAAATTGTACGAATCAAAACCGACGAAACCAATGGCCACGCGCGTCCACAAGCGAATTCAGGTGGGTAGTTTGCCGTCGCACGCATTCCGTTTGCTGCACGAAGAGACAGCGCGACGCGATCGGATTGACCACCATTCAGTGCCCTTGATCTTCGAAAAGACGTTGCTGAAATATCCCCTTATCATAAAGCATACAAAGATGCATAGTATTAGAGTCCAGGCTACATCTAAATTACGAAAAAGGGGTGTCCACCAATCCCTTCTTCGTACACAGCTGTGACCAACGTCAACGAATTGAATTCTTTGAGCCGTGTCCCATCCCATACATTTTTCCAGTGTGCGTATTTTATTTTGCATTAAAATGCATTCCACCAGTGCGAATAGAGGAATGATCTATCATAATTTAAAATGCGACCGCGTGAAATTTAATAAAAATCATCTCGTGACACACGCAGCGTGGGACGTTCGCCAAAATTCGTGTTGGCCGAGGCCGCGTCGCCGGCGACCACTTTGGAACTCGCCGCCTCCGCATCATCATGCACGACCTCAAGTGGATCCTCAATGACGAGGACATGGTGCATATTGCGCCCAAGAAGACGGTGCGCTTTGCGGCGACGGCCATCGAAGCGAGCTTCCGCGTCGGCTACAACGGCAGCGCCGTGCCCAGCGACAAGGTGCCCGGCGTTGGCCTCCATGGCCCCGCCGTGTCGACCGCGCTCGTTGCTGTCTCGGACAAGCCGAGTCAGCTCATGCGCTACAACGCCAGCGACCGCCTCTTCTTCCTCAAGCGCGCGGGCTTTGACGCGACGCAGGTCATGCACCTCTGCATTGAGCAGACGCAGCTGCAAATGTCGCGCAAGCAGGCGATCCTCGAAGAGTACATGGCCCGCCACCAAAACAACAAGCGCAAGCAAGAGCTGGCGGTCGCGCCCACGAGCAACACTGCCAAGCGCATCTGCGTCGCCCATTGAGACTCCTGTAGCACTAGAAGACACCTTATTTATTCCCACTAATCTTATCGACTAACGCCATCAAGCGAGACGATGGCTCTTCTTCCTCCTCTCTTCTGTCTTTCGCTGCGTCGAGTGGGATACTACTGGCACAGTCACCGGAGCCAACGATCTGGGCAAGCCGCCCTTCACGACCAAGCGTGGAGACCAAGCGTGGCCCGGCTCCGTCATCCTGTTGACGCGCACCCCCACCTTCGTCGCGTGGGGCTGTCTCTGCACCGCCATCGAGTCGGTCCATCAAGCAAAAGCTACTCGGTGCGCTGAGCTGGGTACGCTACCCGACGATGCATGGCTAGAGCTTGCATGGCTATGGGCAAACAACTAGCCGTGGTTGACGACGGGCAACGACGCCGCAATACAGTACCACCGCGCACGTAGGGCCTATTTGGCCTCGTCGACTTCAAGTTGCGCAGCCGGTGGTGTGTCTATGACACCCGGCGACGCACGCGCTTTGGTGCGGACAGCCCTGCGCTCGTCATTGCGAGCCGGTGGGTAAAGACCTGCCACGTCTCACGCAATCATCAGCCTCAGCCTCGTCGTTGGACTTGGCAGCAAGGTACAGGACAGGACGCATGGGCGTGGCCATAGCGATGCATGGGCATGCTCGGAGGCGGCGCCGGGGCGAGGACCTCTGGAGCGGCGATCAATGGGATGGTCATCGTCGTCATCGTCGTCCGGTAACGGGCCGGATACTTTTATGCGGTGAAAATTTCTGAAATGGCCGAGTTCGACGCGCAGTACGTGCACCTCGTGCGCGAGGGCTTGTCGCGCGTGGCCATCGAGGCGCGGCTGGCGGCCGATGGCATCGAGGACGTCGGTGGTTTCTGGCAGGCGATTGCGCATCAAGCGCTCCTCGACGCCTGCGACCCGACGCAGCCGATCGACCAAACGTGGCGCCGCCTGTACCCGTTCCAGTACTTTGAGCCCAACTACGCGCTGCCACCCGTGGCCTCGCCCAAGACGCCAGGTACCCATAGCTCGTACATGCTAGCTGACGTCCACGAACGCTAGGGTATCTCCGCGTCGTGGTCATCTCGGACACGCATGGCTTGCATGGGAACATGGACGCGATTCCGGACGGCGACATCTTGCTGCACGCTGGCGACTTTACTGACACGGGCGACCGCGACGAGGTAACGCGATAGACGCCAGTGTGAGGTTGTGTATCCGACCGGCGTAGGTGCTTGCGTTCAACGAGTTCTTAGCCGCCTTGCCGCATCGCTACAAGGTCGTGATTGGCGGCAACCACGAGAGCACGTTCGACAAGGCGTACTACCCGACGCAATGGCAGCGCTATGGCCACCCGATGCAGTACGACCCGGACGACGTTCGCTCGCTGCTCACGAGCGCCTTGTACCTCGAAGACGAGCTCGTCGTCATCGAAGGCTACAGCATCTACGGGTATCTTAACCTCCTCATCCCGCGCCATGCGTGATAAGATACGTATAGGACGCCGTGGCAGCCCGAGTTTTGCAACTGGGCGTTCAACTTGCCGCGGGGCAGCGACGAACTGCGATCGAAATGGACTGCGATTCCGGACGACGTTGACATTCTGTTGACGCACACACCGCCGCTCGGGCGCGGCGACCACGTGGGCATCAGCCACGTCGGCGACATCGACCTGCTCCAGCAAGTGCAGCAGCGCATCAAGCCCCTGTACCATGTCTTTGGCCACGGTATTCTTGCATCCTCCTTACATGTTAACATTGTCTCGAGTAGTGCATGAAGGCTACGGCGCCAGCTGCGACGGCACGACCGTCTTTATCAACGCGAGCAACTGCGACGAAGACTACAAGGCCATCAACCCGATCGTGGTGTTCGATCTGCCGCCACGCCTGGCCGCGACCGCCGACACGGCCCATGCCTACCATACAAAATTCGCAGCTCAAACGCAGCAGAGTATGCTAGCATTATTGTCTGTGGCTTGTTGACGGGGTGGGGTTAGGTGCTACCTTTGCCTTGCGCCGGTTCCGTATCCAAGGCACGAGCGGCGACCAAGTCTTTCAAGGTACGATGACGACATTGCGTGGCAAATAGTTGGGACGGACGATGGGATAGAGGCGCTGCGGAAGCGTCCGATCGACCGTCGCAATGCACGCGCGATGAAGTACTGCTTCCTCGAGAAGGCCCACGAGCCTGCTGTGCCGGCGCCGCCGTCGCCCATCGCGCCCAACTACAGCGTCGCGACGACCCGCGTGCGCAAGCTGGGCAAGAGCGTGTCGGTCTCGGTGCTGCAGCCCGACAGCTTTGACCCGCTGCCGATCACACGCGCTACAACCGACGCGCCACCGCGCCGAGGGTTAGGGGTACGTGCCTCCGAGTCGTTAGCACCACATGACCCCTGACTAGGGCCGCCGCTTGATTAGCAAGAACGCGGGTCTTGCCGTGCTGCCGGAAGAAGACGAGCTGAAGCAAGACGCGCCGGCGCCAACGGTCGTCGAGCCGCCGTGCGTCATGTGCCAGTACAACGTCCCCGGGCACGTCCACAAACCGTCGGCGCCAGTCGCCGCGCCCGTCGCTCCAACGCCTGTCGTTGTTGCCGACGCGCCGCCTGCCGACGACTGCGTGCTTTGCAAATACAAGGTGGCGGGCCACGTGCACCCGCGGTCGGATCCGCCACCCACACCCGCACCGACGGTCGCTGCTGCTGCGGCAAGTACGACCGAGACGCCACCGGGTACGTGCCCATGTGATGGTTGCACCTCATCCTCAGATATTTTGACGCAGAAGGCGAGCGCGGCGCACGCGGCATGAACCGTGTCTCTTCGTGGTTTTAGTTGCGCAACAACAAAGGTGTCATGACCTGACGTCCGGTGGCAGTCGGAGGCGCGTTTACAGCTTGGCAAGCAACTGGGCGACGTGGCGGATGTAGTATTGCGGGTCCGTGATCGCATAGTAGGGCTCCACGCGCTTCAAGTACCCCTCTACTCCATCCCAACTTTTGTGAGCGCCGAGGACCGTTGCAAAAGCCACCTTTGGCGATATCGAACGGCACCACGGTGCCCGTGGCCGCGTCGCGCACGTCGACGATGTGCGCCTCCGTGCTAAGCAGCAGTATGAGTCTTCTCGCAAAGCAGCAGTGTTGTACGCTTCAATGTGGTCGTCAAAAAAGACTGTGGCCGGCCCGTCACCCGGCGTCACGAGCAACAGCTACATCGCATATGCTCAAGTAGTCGATAGCGTCGCACGTACCTTGCCATACTCAGCGTGCTCGGCATGCGCGCTCCACCATTCCCAGTAGTCGCGCATGGCCGTCACGCGCCGGCCTTTGGCCAACGTCGCGTGGAGCGTGGCTTGAATTTCACCGAAACCATGCACGAGCTGCACGTCTACGCGTCATTGAGAGCCTCACTTCGGTCACTATGGATAGACCGCTCGAGTAAAACGACTCAGGCGTCGTGTCGGCCTTGAAGGGAACCTTGGTCAGCGTGTTGACAGCGAGCGTCGTCCCCGCCGCATCAAAGCCATCTACAAGGGAGCTCGGTTTCTGGCTCTTTATGGCATGGAAGCGTACTGCGGTAAAAGGTCGCATACGGCGGCAAGAGGCGCATCGAGTCGGGCAGCGTTTTCTACAGCAATTGGTCAGCTGTGGTCGAGCGCGGAGGGTCGTACGCCGAGGAAGAGCGGGTGCTGGCCGTTGCAGAGCAGCTCGAGTTCCTTGGCCACCTCGGGGATGTCTTCGCCAAATGTGCGAAAGACCACCGAGAGCTCGACGGCGTCTAGGCACATGAGCGTCTTGGCGACTTGGCACATTTGTCAATGTCCTACCGGTCGTCGTCTCGGCCATGTAGTGCAGGAAATGCAAGAACGACGGAAGCAAGTAGTAGCGCCCAGCGCTCCACGCTTCCTTGAGCCCCGACTCGTCCAAGCTCTTCGCCGCTTCCTACGTCATACGGTAAGGAGGAGCATGGCGAATCTGAGCAGCGTACCTTGGCCGCGTCCCGGAGGTCGCCTTCGGGAAAATGGAGGCAGTCGAGCACATGGGTATAAGACGATGCGATTGGGAGGCCGGGGCCGCTCGTAAAGGCCGACTGCAGCGCCGTTCGCTGCTTCTTTTGGCTCCTACGCTACGCATGACCACGAGAGCGAGAGATTTGGGAGAAGGGTACTTGTTGAACGCCTTGACGTCTTCCATGGCGCCCGAAGCCATTGAGTTGTACGGGTAGAGCTGGTCGACAAACTTTTTGTACGTGATGAGCGACGGCGACGGGGCGGCCAACGACGGCTCCTTGGAGACGCAGACCCACTATGGCGCATATCGATCGAGTCGCGAGGTCGAGGCGAGGACGCGTACCTCGTTGCCGTCGACGCGGCCGTAGGTACACTCAGAGAGGAGGTAGTTGAGCGTGTTTTCCATGGAGCGGCCGCCCGCGACGTCCGACATGACGATGGTCCGGTTCAGGTCAAAGTGGAGGACGAGCTTCTTCATCATCTCGGCGCTGGACGGCAAATCGGCGAATGAAGCGTTATTGTTTGCGATTGGCTAAAATGAAGCCAATCACAATGCTTCACGAAAAGATGTGACCTGCAAAAGGCAACCCAGCAGCCCGCGCACCGCGGCCGATGATGGCTGGGTCGATAGGACGCTATGGTTCAATTATGGCGCTACATACCCTTAGTATGTTTCAACTCGATCCATTTCCTGCTCGAACCGGTAGTAGAACTGCAGCGAGGAAGGAGCAAGCGCCAGAAGGATGTCAACAGGCGTGAGGTATGATTTGGGATCGACTTATCTCGATCCCAAATCGAAACTTTTGCAACCTTCTCAAATCGCTGTGATATTTTCAGGGACGCTTTCTCTAGCTCGAGAGAGGTTATATGCCGACGCACGTGGCTATCAAAGGCCTGCAAGTATTTATTTTGAAACTCGCCAACAATTGCTGTTTTATTCCAACATAAATCAGCTAGATATTCAACGCGAGCCAATCAGGGCTCGGGCATTCGTAAATATTTTCGTAATTTGGGTAAACACATGGCGAATTACAAAATAACAAAATATTTTGAGGGCCATTTCGTAAGGATTTTGTAAGATTACGAAACTTTTGGAGGCCTGTTTCGTAAAAGTGACTTCGAACCCGGGCTCCCGCACCCTTTTCCGTGAACTTTTGCGAGTTTGTACGGGAACACACGGCACTTTTTCTCACAGGCCCATGGGAAAGAGCGCGAGAGCCAGCGGGTTGCACGACGCGCTCTTTTCCAGACTAGCTCATAATCCGAAATGGCTCCAGCTAAGGCGGCCCCGTTCCGCATGAAGTGGCTCGACGATGTCTCGTGGCTCGTGTACGACAAGAGCAAGGACGCCGCGTTCTGCACCACGTGCCAACTCGCTCAACAAGTGGAAGATGCGCGTCGCTGACGAGTTTGCCGACTACTGCGCTTCCGAGTCGGTGTGTTTGGCGCATTTTGAAGGCGTCGCGTACGTACGTCGCCTCGTCAAAGCCATTGGGGATCGCTTTCCCATTGTGCCTCTTCATCGAGCACATGCGCTGCGCTCGCGACCTCGTCGCTTACGGTGTCGATGAGGTCGAATTCCTCCGCGTCATCGACGCCGGGGACAGTAACGTTGCTCTAGAGTACGGCGCGCTCAAGCAATACGTCATGTGTACGGCCCCGCAGTCCTCGGCGATGGATTTTTTGACGTTCGTCCTCACTGACTCGCACGTTGCGAGGATGTATCCGTCCATCCTACAGCTCGTCACCATTGCTGCAACTCTCGCGCCGGGCTCCGTCGACTGCGAGCGCGCCTTCTCGCTCCAGAACCTCGTGAAGACGGACAAACGGACGTCCCTCTCAGCGAGCCACCTACAAGATCTCATGGTATGTGCACGGGACGGGCCCGAGGCCTCCAAATTAGATGTACCTACCATGATGGGCGAATGGATTGCCGCCAAGGAGGAGTCAAACGCGAAAAGACGTCAACTTTGAAGGTCGCCACTCGTTTCGTAATCTACTTGAAAAATGTATACTTGCGTTTCGTAAGGACCCCCAAATCTTAAAAGTGGTACAACGTCGGCCAGAAAATGATTCGAGCACTGTGGCACACCGTGTTGGATTCGCCTCATGATTGCCTATCGAATGGTATCATCAGAATACCGAAATAAAATTTCTATCACCACATTACGAACGATGTTGTGTTTTTACGAAAATATTTTAGAGCCAGTTTGTAAATTACGATGCGAACGCCCGAGCCCTGGAGCCAATACATGGCGCTTTGAGCCTTCATAATTCTAGACAGACTTGTCCTTGGCCCCTGAAAAGGTCCCAGCGTTCTGGCTCCGCGCATAGAGCGTGGTATCGAAAATGCCATTTTATTCAAATCAATTCGTTGAAAAATCACCCAGCGCCCAACGATGCCGCAAATCAACACGTTCAACCTCTCTCCATCACTAGCGACTTGTAGTGGGCCGTTGAAAATAATCCCAGCATTTTCCAACATTTTCTACATTTTGGCCATGCACCGCTCCAACGCCAAGAGCTTGAGTGAGGCGCCAACTTGTGCGTTGGGAACCCAAACCGCATGAACCAGACGGGCCAAGTCTCCCCCATGGTCGCGTGCTTTCTCGTGTCAAAACTGGAGGAGGAAGTACAAAGAAATATAGGCATTAGGGATCGCACTGCGGCTTACTGCTGGCCCTGCGTGATGAACGTGAGCAGATCGATGCGCGTGACGACACCAAAGATGACGCTCTTCGTCTCGACGGCGCCGCCCTTGGAGAACGTGCGCTGCTCGGTCACGACAAGGGCAAAGTGGTCCTTGTCAAAGATGCGGCTGAGCTCCGAGAGCGACGTCTGCGTCGAGACCTTGCGGAACTGCTTGTACATGGCCTTGGAGACTTCGTCCGTGGGCTGGATGCGGCCCGGAAGGAGCTGCGCGATCAAGTTGCCCTCCGAGATGACACCGACGATCGTGTTGGTCTCGTCGACGACCGGCAAGTTGTCGAAACCCTCGGCCTTGAGGATATCGACGGCCTCCTTGCACGTCAAGTCGTGGTGGATCGTGTACGGCACGTTGAGCGGGAGCTCCGAGACCGTCTTCTTGGCCCACCACGCGGTGTTGGCGGGCTTCTTCTCGACGTTCTCGACGTAGCCGTGCTCGTACATCCAGTCGTCGTTGAGGAACTTGGTCATGTAGTTGCGCGTCGAGTCGGGCAGCATCACGACGCACTTTTGGCCGGCCTTGAGGTCCTTGGCCGCGTTCACGGCGGCAAACATGGCCGAGCCGCACGAGCCGCCGCAGAGGAGGCCTTCTTCGCGGATCATGCGGCGCGCCATCAAGAACGAGTCCTTGTCGCCGGTCTTGACCCACTTGTCGACGACGTCGCGGTGGAGCACATCGGGAATGAAATCGTAGCCGATGCCCTCGACCTGGTACGACTTGAGGCGGTTAAAGTCGTTGAGCGTGTCGGGGACCGCGAGGATCGAGCCGATCGGGTCGACGCCGATGACGACGCAGCTCGGGCACTTCTCCTTGATCTTCTTCGCCGTGCCCGTGATGGTACCGCCGGTACCGGCCGAGATGACGAGCATGTCGACCTTGCCGTTGCACGACTCGAGGATCTCTTCGGCCGTCTGGTCGTAGTGCGCGAGTGGGTTGGACGGGTTGGTGTACTGGTCGAGGATGTGCGAGTCCTTGATCTCCTTGTTGAGGCGGATAGCAACACCAATGTGGCTCTCCGGCGAGTCCCAAGCGGCCTCCGTCGGCGTGCGGATGATCTCGGCGCCAAGCGCCTTGAGCACATCGACCTTCTCCTGCGACATCTTCTCCGGGAGCGTGATGATCATGCGGAAGCCGTAGATGGCAGCCGCGAGCGCGAGGCCAATGCCCGTGTTGCCCGACGTGGGCTCGATGAGCGTGTCACCGGGCTTGATGCGACCCGACTTCATGGCGTCTTCGACCATGCGCTTGCCAATGCGGTCCTTCACGGAGCCGCCGGCGTTGAAGAACTCGCACTTGGCGAGCAATTCGCACTGGAGGCCCGCCTTCTCGGCAATCTAGTCCATCAATCTGCAATGAGCGTCGAGTGCTGAGGCGCTAAGGCGTACCTTGTTGATCTTGACCAACGGCGTGTTGCCGACATGGTCGAGGATCGTGTTGAGGATCTTGGGCTCCGTGAAGCTACCATGTGCATGAGCCGACGGCCGCGCAGAGGCTGGAGCTTACCGCTGGTCGTGCGAGTGGGGCGTCTTGATGAAGCAGGTCGCGTTCTTGCAGGGGACCGAGGACATGGTGGTGGCGAGCAAAGGGCAAATTGACAAGTGGATCCTGCCCTCTGGAAACCCTCTGAACGATTCCGCCAATCACAGGCGCCGAATCTTCAACGTATCACTTGAATATTGGCCAACGTGGGCAAAACATCGGGATATTGGGACAAAGCCCAGTTTGTCCACAGCAATTCGAGTGACCACAACCTACGCGACCCAGTGCGGTCGCCATAGCAAGGCAAGACCCGACGCCTCTCGAACAGTCTCGTGCTCTGCTTCGAGGTAGCGTCCGGCGGCCACTGTATTTTGAAGCTGCTACGTGCGATGCGACGCCATTCGCTGGACCAGAAAGGCCATGGTGCTGCTGGGCATCGAGGGCACGAACAGCACGAGCAAGCGATGGCGAGGCCATTAGCTCTAGTAGACCGGTAGCAGCTTCACCATCGTGCGATCATAGCAGTGACCAACATATATGCAAGTGTGAAATAAACGTAGGACAAGAGCATCGCCGGTTGTGGTCGAATGCGCCTATGCTGCGCGGGGTGAGATCTTATTGCGGTGCTGCGGTAAGATATGATTGTGACCTTGCGGTGCACGGTTATTAGCTACTCGTGCTTCAAAGTGCAGAATGACACTGTCGGCTCAAGTGGGCGCGTGACGCAGCTTGGCTGGCCGTGCCCCAAGGCATCTCCATGATGTCGTCGGTCGTGCGCTTGTTTCTCCCGAGTTTGTCCCTTGCAGCTCCAAGATCGCGCGTCACTGAACCCAAACCAGAGTTGCCAAGGTGCAGGTAAAACCATCGGGCGAGGTTTGTCCCAAGGCAAAGTGAGCTGGCGGAATTCTGTTGGTCGACGCGTGTCGCAGCACAAAGGGTGGCTGCGAAGACGTTCGCCGCTTGCCCAACGTGTGCTGGCGTGTTGGTGCGATCTGACTGGCTACTCGCGATGGATGACGTCCGAAGCCGGCAGATTTCCAGGCAACGACCTTGAGAGGCACTGAGCGAAGAGCACCAGCATTGCGCTTCATGTGCGCGCACTTGGCACGCGTGTAGTTTAGCGCGTCGTCGGCGTCTCGCGCTTTATTGGTGGAGCTGGAAAAAGTGTTTGGTAATCATTGCTGTCGCCGTGCATCAGGATGAGAACGGTCTCTTCTGGTCCTCGACCTTGTCGACGGACGAGGGCGTCCACGGGCGCAAGGACATTATTGTCACTCGAACGGTGCAACAGAACGGCGGTTCTTCTCAGGATTCCTACCGTGCCCCGAAACGCCGTCGCCGGATTGGGCGTGGACGCTCAGTCCATCTCAAAAAGCGTGGACGAGTTGTCCCGTCGACGTCCTATATCCGACGCGAGCTCGCCTGTCTTGAGCAACCAGCTGCGGCAAACCAATGTCAACGAGAAGCATACATGCTTTGTTGCACAAGCATCGCGCTTGTCAGCAACACGGTCGCGCTTGGCTCTTTGGTGCTTTGCCGAGCTGAATGTCGGGATGCCAAGTGCGATGTACGAGTACGGGCACATCTCCCAGCACGGGTCGAACGAGGACCTTCCACAACACTTTCATTAACAGTAGTCGCAGCACACTCGTCAAGAGGTAAGAGGCGAGGTGTCCATGAGTATGCCGACTCCATAGCAGAAATGGCACATTTGACGCGCATCCAGCCAGATCCGATGATACGCAAGCCAGTCTTCGAGGGATTCTTCCTCTGCAATCCCATCGCTCGAATCTATCGGCGGTAATGGCGCTGACCTAGGAGACAAGAATGTCATACGAGTTCATGGTCCAAGCCTATCTCTTGAGCTATCCCTTGACGACGGTGCCGGTACACCACTGGCTCGAGCGGCGTACTACGACCAGTCGCTGGCCATTGGGTGGTCGGTCGACAGCCTCGTACTGGTCGCGCCACTCTGCAGTGGCAAAGCCACGGCGTCGTTGCGAATTGAAGCTAAAAACACCCAACTAGCCGCGTCCAATTTGCACCCAAACCGCGCACGGCGACGTCATGGACCTGCGACCACCACACGAGTTTGCACGCTTCCATTCCTCACACAGGTCGTTAGCAGTCCCATGTAGTGTCTTCTCGACCAGCAACCACTAGTGGCTTGGAAGAGAGCGCCGCTGTTTGACGAAGCACCCTTTGAAAAAACATCGAAAATGGCGTGCGTCTAGCCATTTGCCGCATCCATGCAGTCGCCCTTGAAGTTTCAGCAAGCCACCTGCCCTCAAAGCGCACTTAATCCGCCTAGACGCATAATTTGTATGCGATGACGAGCGACCTGATAACGTACGTCGGCGCACTTTACAGGACTCACTTTGCACCTCGGCGGCAGACTCGGACGCGATGCCAGGCGCCGGGATGGAGCCGCTCTTCCTCTGGAACACGTCGGCGGCCAAGAAGTCGGACTTGAACCCGACCGACTCGACCATGGCGCGCAAGTTCAAGCGCGCTTGCGACGAGATCTCGACCGCGTACCTCAACGGACGGTAGCCACAAGCCACGGTCCATGCTCCTGCCGGCTCATGGTGCTCTGTAGCGTCGCGCTAGAAGATATATTGAACGAGACCATGAGTGAAGCGCTTCTGGTTTACATCTCGGAGCACATGCCAGCGGCCATGCGCAGCGCGCTGCGGACGCCCGAGACCATGCAAGACACGCTACGGCTCGCGCTGGGCATCACAACCGACCGCGCCAAGGTATGCCGCCCTCGCCTCGCTCGCGCCCATAGCTATCTGCGTAGCCGATCTCTGTGGAGACACAGCACTTGGCGTCCGGGCTCTTCCTCCTCGTGCACACCAAAGGCAGCGTCGTCCAGTGCAACACGTCGTTCCAGCCCGGCCATGCGACACGGTGCTCGAACCTCTGGCACTACATCTACGAAGCCATCATCGACTGCGCGACGTCGCAGACCACGTTCTTTGTCGAGGGCGACGACGGCTTTGCTCGCCTCGCCGCCTCGTACGCGACGGTACGTCCATGCCGTCAAGGAAGAGAGGTTGACGATTGATGCCTGTAAAGATGATCAAGCACGCGGTCATGGACTGGCACAAGGGCACGTGCGTCTTGGCGCACCTCGGGCAGCACCCCGAGCACGTCGACTTTCTCCTCGAGCACATGTACAACGACAACATTATGTTGTCGATGATCCGCCTCATCTACTGCGACCATGCGATGGCGAGCATGCAGTCGGTCAAGAACATGCGGCTCATGCGCAAGCTGCTCGCAAAACTACTCTCGCCCGAGCCCGGCCTCGTCACCCTCAAGCCTAACCTCTCAATCGCACTGCGGTCGCTCATCCGCGCGCCGTATGTCACTGGGCGTGGCGACCTCATCTTTGCAAAGTCCATTCCGATCGACAAGCTCACAGGTAGCGTCCTCTTCTCGACGCCTCGTTGTTCCGTCTCATGAACACTTGTAGGCCAACCGGACTATGTCCTGCTCTGCGGTACGTCGCGGGACCTCGACAACAGCCCGATGCGACAGTTTACGTCGCGCGTACGACCACTGCGATATTTTAACGATTTTTTTGCAAATTTCTCGATAGAAAATCCGGCATTTGGTGCACGTCTTGATCGAGAACAACACGCTGGTGCCGGGCCTCATTGCGCGCAGCTGCCACGAGTGGTCTTCGGACGCGTGCCCGTCGTTTGCGTGCTCGTCCTTGTTGGCGTCGCTCCTCGATCTGGTCACGACGGTCGAGTTTTCCGAACGAACGGGGAAAGGCCACATTGGCATCGAGTGCAACTATTTTCCGTGCCAGACGCACCAGATTCTGAGTGTGAATCTCATGTACGGCGACGAGCCAGTCACATTTCTCCTCAACTGCATGATGGGCGTCATGGTGACGCCGGCCAACAACCAAGGGCCGATCTCGATCAGCATGAGCCAGCTCACGTCGGTCACCAAGTCACCCGATGGCTTTACGATCCGCATGAAACCGTCGAGTACGATGGACACATTGTCTTATAACTGACACTACAGTATGTGTAGGTCGAGAACCGATGCATTTTACCACGCCCAACGCCGCGGTGCAGGCGCAATGCATCGCCGGTCTCAACAACGCGCTCGAAGGCAACCTCGTCGAGCTCGACATCTTTTGCAGCGAAGACTGGAAGTCCAACGTGGCCGAGTACCAGCAGCTGCGTCTCGCCATGGTGCAGTCCCTCGTACGTAGAGCGTCTGTGGTGCGCCATGTTGATAGAAGAGCGTAGGAGGCTGCGCTGCCCGCGACCGTCCGCAACACGATGATGACGTGGACCGAGCACCAGCCGGGCTTGTCATGGAAGCTCACGCACATCTGCGACGTGATCCAGGCCATGGTCGGCATGGAGTCGAAGCGGTACGCTGCGTTCTTTTGCTTGGATTTTGTTTTGATTTTTGTTTATTTTCGGATTTTCGATTTCACGCTTTTTTGTAGACTCGATGCACTGCTCGTGTCGTCCGGTGCGCTCAACGCGCTCTTGCAGTGGTATACGTTCAACCACTCGAACGCCGTGTGCTCGCACATTACGCAAATGCTGCTCTTTTACATCAGCGACCCCAACGGGAAGCGGTCGCGCACGTGCCCTGTCATTGGGCTGCTCATGAAGGAGCTGCCGCCGCTCATTCTGCAAGCCGTCACGCAGCACCCGAACGAGTCGCGCGAGATGCTGCCGTACGTGCAGAGCCTCTACGACGCGATCGAAGCCTGCATCCAGTACGCCGTTTCAAAGGGTTAGGGTGGATGGACCCTAGCCCTACATGGGCCCGAGCTAACAGATCGAGATACGACTAGGAGCCCGCATTCGAACTCGCACTTGCGCGTCGCACAGCTGGCCGACGCCGACCCGACGTGGCATGAGCTCTACCTGCACTTTCATGACCGGTGTCTCGAACGGTCGGCGAGTGGTCGCTTCAAGTTTGAAGCGATGATCTCCGAGGCGCACATGCCGCTGCAGCCAGCGTTTCACAAGGACATTTTGGACCTCCTTGCGCAGCCCACGTTTGCGTCCTATGACATTGGCTCGGCGTTTCTTGTTGGCAACGGCTGTGTCTTTGGGTATCTCTCTTTTCACTTTCCATACCTTCTAAACTGATTTTTCCGTTTAGATACGTCTACAAGCAAGACCCGTCGCCGCCCGAGCCCGTCCACATTTCCGTGCCGTGGCGCCGAACGCTCGTAGTGTTTGAGCAGAGCTCGTTCAAGCTCTGGTGCTTCGTGCCGTCGCAACACAAGCCCAACGAGCCCATCAAGTACGCTCTCGATGTCCTGGTGTCTACACTAACGTGTAAACTAGCTGGCAGTGGATCGTACCAACGGCGGTGCAGACCCACTACTGCCAAGGAGAGGACGAGCACCATACGAGCATTGGCCACCACGGCTTTGACGTCATCTCGGACCTTCAGCACAACGGGACCATCTGGCGACTGTGCACGACCGCGCTGCACGAACGCGACGAGTGGCTCAAGGTGTTTCAGTCGGCGACCGCGACCATTTCAGCGCTGGGTACTAACTATCCCAACAGTTGCAACACGATATGTAAGATCGGATGTAGCTTCGCATTATGCGGCAGCGTCGCCCACGAAACCAAAGAAGAAGGTGACCAACTGCATCATGTGCAATGCAGCGTTCCACGTCTTCAAGCGGCCGTACGCGTGCCACCGGTGCGGCCTCGGCATCTGCGGCAAGTGTTCCAAGGTATATTTGACCGTGTTTCGTTGTGAAATGACAATTTTGTTAGTTTTTCAAACCGATTCCTGAAATGGGCGTGTACACGCCGGTGCGGCACTGCCAAAAGTGCTTTGAGGCGTCGGGCGGCGCCATGTCCGAGAGCTGCCCCGTCCAACTCATGGGCGGTCTCCCAATGATCCACGAAGACCACGGCCACGTCAACGACGTCGACCGCATCGGCGGCTTCCTCGAGCCAAAAACCGTCAAATCCCAGCGCGGTCTCCAGAAACCAAAGCTGATTGCGATACCGGACGATGGCGACGTGGCGGAAATGAGCTTTCCGACGACGCCGATGCAAGTTGAGGACGTGCTCTTGCCGATCGAAGCGGAAAAGGAAGCGTCCCCGAAAGAGAGCGAGACCAAGTAACTCGCGCTCCAACATGTACTTGGTAGAAATATACATATACAGAGATGTCGTGTCACCTTGGTATCCACTCGATACACATCGTTTGAGAAAGGATTATTGTTATCAAGTCGAGCATGGCGCACTGTAGCCGTTGATTGGCCAATGAAGGTGGATAAATGATCAAACCAAGAAGCCATGTGGTGAAGTATCGACGTGGCGCATTGGCTTGACAAATTCTTTCAACTGTCAAGTTGCCAGTGGCACTTTCAACGGTTTGTTTCAATACTTCAAGTTAGCGACCAGAGTGTCACCCAATGAACACATGTCTGTGACAATCATTGCCCAATGATCTATCTCTATCAAGAAAATGTATTAATGTATCGGAAATATATCAAAGTATCATGAGTGGGACCAAGTGTGGCGGATGCTTGTCACTTTTGAATTGAGATTGGTACGATGACCGCAAGAGTTTGCCAACGTACCAAAGGAACTGTTGCGACTACGATCAATGAAGACTTCGACTACAGTCTAGCGTTGGTGCCTCCTTGCTTCCACATCGTCGCACGGGGCCTTCAATTCGGGGCTGTTCTAACACTTGCCGCGACTTTCTGGACTCGCGTGCACGAAGGCACGTACTATGGTGCTCGCGTCATCGTCAAGTTGATACTTGCCGTCGACGCCACCACGATGCGCAAAGCTTATCAACTGGCTCGAATTTCCATCGACATGCACCATCCCAACATCGTCCGCTTCTTGGGCGTCGACTACGACGACCAAACCAAGACTGTGTAGGCTTCCATTCCTATCCCTTCACCATGTCTCATCTTAATTTGTAGACTCTATGTGACCGAGCAGCTTGAGCGCGGGGACTTGGCATCCATCTTGGCCAGCGACGAAGTGCTTTCGGTCCAAGTGTGCATACAGATCCTGTTTGATGTTGCATGCGGCATGACCTACCTCCACTCGCAGCCCAAGCCGATCATGCACCGCGACTTGCGCGCGGCCAACGTTCACATTTCGTACGTTTTTCGATTTTTGAGTGGCAACTCATCTCTATCTAGCCGCAACTACCGCGCCAAGGTGGCCAATTTCGAGCTGAGTGGCAAACGTGGCCTCGACAAGTCTCGGGTCGGCACACCAGCGTGGACGGCGCCCGAGATCTTGGCGGGCGATGCCGACTACACGGAAAAGGTCGACGTCTACAGCTTTGCGATGCGTACGTACACATTATTGTCTAACATTCTTGACGACTGAGGAATTATGATTTAGTCATGGTCGAGATTATGAACCGAAAGATGCCATACGCCGACGAATCCAAAGCCATGCCAGCGCCCCAGCTCTTGAACGAAATCGTGTCGAAGCAACGGCGACCGACAATTTTGCATCCCGAAAATTGGCCGCAACAAATGCTCAACCTTGTGGAAGCGTGCTGGGAAGAAGACGCGGAAGAGCGCCCTGCGTTCCAGTCTGTCGTCGCAGAGCTGGACACATATTTGAAACAACCGCAGGCGTGAGCGTACGCCGGGTATCTATGATGTACTAGTAGAATGTAAATGTGAATTCAATATGGCAATTCGCGTGATGAGTTATCGTCCAAAGCTTGGACGAGGCGTGGCTCGACACCAGAGTGGAGTTCCTACTTATCCACTCTTGTAGACCAGCTTGTGGAAAAACGTATTCCACTTACTATGAGGCACAAAGTTGATACTAGTAGAAACCCGTGTACAGTACCAATGACATTTGATATTCGTCGACGAGATCCAATCCATTTCCAAATTTCCGTCGCCCTCAGCATCCATACTACTGTAGTTATCATGTGCCCTTCGGACCTAAAGACAGCTGCAGCACCTATTGACGCGGCACACGGTGCACGCACCGAAGACTCGGCGCGCAACGACTTGTCGCCGAGTACGACGCCACCGACCCCGCTGTCGCCTCACTCGAGCGAAAAAAGCACAGCGACCAAGGTAGACCAAACCACGTTAATTGGTCCTTATCGACTTGGAACGTTGCGTAGCGCAAAGCGCCGCCACTGCTGCCAACATCGTCGAAACGACATTGCGCCGACACTGACGCCAGCTGGTTCGAGAGCAGCATGGCGCCGCCAGAGACCTCCGAACACGGCGCTGCCCAAGCCTCCTTGTCCCTTGACCCACCCGAGGACCTCTACGGTCCTTGTCTGTTTCGCATGTGAACCTCGCAAGGGCACCTGCAACGAGAACAGCGATTTATCAACTGTGGTCGCTATATCATTGTATGCGTCGATGCCATTGGCCGTCATTTTCGCACGCGATAAAAATGATCAATTGGTACTGTACATTTCTGAAATGCAAATTCACCAACTGGCCAATCACAACACCTCATTTCCTGTTTGCAACATATTTTTAGCCAATCCGCTGTAAGAATTCTCACCGACGGTAGTTGCTGTCCGGACGGCAGAGTCGGATTTCGCGTGCAAATGGACAAGCCAGCGCCGGCGCCCCAAGTCCTCGACAACCTCCCGGTATGCTTCAAGATCGACGAAGCGGCGCTGGTGCCTGGTGCGGCCTCGCCCACGCCGGCGTGCGCCATGTGGACAGGCGTCTTTTACGGCACGTACCATGGGTCGCCCGTCCTCATCAAGGAGGCCGCGTTGGCGGACGATGCCAAGCAGCGCGAGATCTACCGCGTCGTGCGCTTGGCCATGGACATGTATCATCCCAACATCGCCCAGTTCTTTGGCGTGAGCTTCAATAACCCGGAGAAGAAGCGCGTGTACGCCGCTCTACCATGCCCGCTCGCCTCCTCATTCTCCTCTCTTTGTAGACGCTTGGTGATCGAGCGGCTCGAGCGCGGCGACTTGGCGGCCATCTTGGCCAGTGACGAAGAGCTCTCGGTGCAGCGCTGCGTGCAGATCATGTGCGACGTCGCCTGCGCGATGTCCTACTTGCACGCGCAGGCCAAGCCGATTTTGCACCGCGACTTGCGCGCCGCCAACGTGCACATCTCGTACGTGTCTTCCGCGAAATGCACTTGACTGATATCATTTACTCTAGGCACGACTACCGCGCCAAGCTCGTCAACTTTGAATTCGGCGGCAAGCTCGGCCTCGACAAGACGCTGATCGGGACACCGGCGTGGGCCGCGCCCGAGATCTTGGCGGGCGACGCCGACTACACGGAAAAGGTCGACGTCTACAGCTTTGCCATGCGTACGTGCACATTATTGTCTGCATTCTGAAGGACTTACGAAGCTCAATCTAGTCATGATTGAGATTATGAACCGCAAGGTGCCATATTCCGAAGAGCCCAACGACCTGCCCGCGCGGATGCTACTGGAACAAATCGTCATGCAAGCCCGCCGCCCGCGCATCATGGAGCGCGAGAGATGGCCGCGGCCGCTCCTCCACCTCGTCGACTCGTGCTGGCAGAAGGACCCGACCGTGCGCCCGTCTTTTGATGGCATTGCGACCAAGCTCCACGCGATTCTGAAGCCCCCATCAAGCCCCACGAAGCGTCTCAATTCGGCTCGGTCGACAAAGGTTGGGACGACCACTGGCAGCGTCGAGGACAGCGAAGATGGAAATGCCAAGCGAGCCCGGTGCGCAGTTGACAGTCGCGATGACCCGTCGACGTAAAGCCCTCTGCATCGTATCGTAGTCGACGGAGTTTTAACTGGCTGGTATGTACACTATTTAAAAAACGCTTACATATTGTCTATCGCTCGAGCACCTCAATGTGAGTAGTTTGTACGTGTTGCTAGTACCTGCAGCGAGCAAGAACGCGACGACGAATATGGTTGCGCAGCCGTTCGAGCCAGTTTGGACAAGGCAACGACGCGCCTAATCGCTATCCAATCACAAGCTGTTCCTAAATCGTTTATATATTGTCATGCAAATAAGAGCTTATTTGTTGTTGGTAGCCCATTGCTCGAGGTGCAGAAGCACTCGAGTGGAGGACTGGAACTGACCAGCTTGCAGCTTGCAGTTGCAAGCGCACTTATGAGGATACATTGATCGAACCTGGTGCAGCCCCATGTTCCGTTCTATAGTCCGAATTAAGTGCGCCGCATCAATACAAATCCCGAGTACTTCTATTAAGTACGCCTCCGAAATCGAACTTGGAGAGATCTCTCCGCGAGATCCGACGCACTTATTGGAGTGATCGACTGGATGCAGGAGCCACGGGGTTCGTCAACGGTATCGGCAGCGAGCGCCGTCGGGAGCGAAGCGCGCTGGCGCCGGGAAGAGGTGCGTCGGAGCTGCATGCCACCCATGCGCGTCCTCATGCGAGGCTAGATGGCGCTCCTCGAGAGCATCATGCAGACCTCGTACCCGGGCTGGACCGAGACGACGGTCGTCGACTGGACGGTATGCTGCCACGACGACAAGGACAAACGACGAGCATGCGTAGGCCGTCGCAACTCAAGTCGGCTCGCGCGACGTGTGGCAGTGCAAGCAAAAGTGGATGCGGTCGCTGCGACCAGGGCTCAACCTCGGCCCGTGGAGCGACCAGGAAGACCGGCTCTTGATGGACGTCATGGCGGCGCTACCGTCGCCAGCCCGCGTCGACTGGCGCCAAGTGGCCTACGACCTTGAGAAGTCCAATTTTCGACGCAGGTATCGCTATCTGTTAGCGTGCAAAGCCGGACATGTACCTCCTGTAGCATGAAGCAGGTCAAGGAACACTGGGAAGATCACATCAACCCAGCGATCGTGCCCATGTACAATGACAGCGCAGAAGCAGCGGCTAATGATCGATCTGGATGCATAGCCACGAAGTGCCATTGACAAAGGCCGAGCTGGCCATCATCCGCGAGACCGTCATGGCCTACCCGCACTCGGGGAAGCTCTGGGTGCTGCTGATCCGGAACGTCAATGACGTTATCAAGACCAACGCAGATGTGATGACCGAGCTTCTGAGCGGCCGTGGTCCCGGCGGCCAAAATCTGACACCGGTGCTGTCCAGATTGTACCAGATCTGGAAATCAAATATCCACCCACCTCTGATTCTAGGTGCGCTCCAAGAGCGATCTGAAAAAATCCCTTCAGAAAATGGTCACGCGCATTCAAAAAGAGCAGGCCGCGCTCGCACCCGCCCCGCCGTCCTCCGACTCGACGTTATTTCGCAAAACCACATTGTGGTACGATGTCGATTTGACCTTGAGTGGGATACCAAAATGCAAACTGGGTAGGGAGACCCCCGGACGGCTCTCGGTCAAGCGTCGGACCAGTGCCAGAGCCACAGCATCGTCATCGCCGGCAACGCTGCCAGTGGCACCAGCGCTGGAGCCGGTTATGAACCCTAACGCGCTACTGGCTCCTGCGATCACGGCCGTGCACGAGGCTTCCCGAGCAATGGGTTGCTCTCTCGACGAGACGCTCGCGCTTCTCCGAGACGCTATCTCAGCCTCTGTGCCAGACCCACCGACAACAGAGGTCGACGCCACGACATCGTTTCTACGATTGCCACCCGCCGACACAATGCGCGAAGCCGATCTACGCAGCGACGACCTGTCGCCGGCGCAGCTGCTCGTCGGCCTGCGCACGTCGGACCCTGCCACGATAGCGTGAGATCAATGCACACATTTGGCATGTATGTACTCGGTTTCAGGGCTCGGGATCACGCTATGATATCGAGACACTCGTAAGTGTCGGCGTCATCTGTCCACAAGGGCTAGGGTTGTACGGAGGAATGGATATACCCTGGAAAGACCTTGTAAGTGTACTTCACCAAAGAGTTGCAGCAAAGTGGGGTCGAGGCCATGTAGCCCTGTAGTGACGTCGTCGTTGTTGGAAGCTGCAACGTCCAGAGGAGGCCTGCAGGCGCCGACAAGAGCTGCCGTTTGTATTGAAATTCCGGCCATGACGCGGTCCAGACGTCGCATGTCGAGCACTTGCGCTTGCTGGCGAGAAGGCGCACGAGTCGCGTCTGGAGCTCGACATCCTGTACGAAACATATACTTTTCGCGAGCTCCAGAGCCCAGTCAACGACTTACCCGACTCCAGCAGAGAAGCAGGTCGAGCTGCCACGCTGCTTGGCTGACCTTCCGTCCTAGGTATGTATGCTCGGGTGTGATCAGCTGAACGATTATCTTGCATCGGCGGCTTGGCAGCGCCAGCAGGTCGAGAAGAAAGCTGACGTTGTCGAAATGGTTGGTCGCATCACGGAACATAACTCCATGTATGCTCCTTCCATGCAGTACGGCAGCAGAGGCTTGCTCGCACTCACATGTTGTCGACGACCTGCAAGCTTAATGAGGCTCTATCGTGCTTGCCAATACATCGAGCGAAGAGAAATCGCGTCGTCCGTAAGTCGTAGCATCCTGAAGACCACTCAATATGATGATTGCACTGGCGGAGCTTTGGGTAGCGCGGCAGAATCTCCGATGCAATCTCAAGGTGGCCAGAGCTTTGTAGCACCTCCCGGAAGATGCTGCGCCATTGAGCAAGAAAAAGCGCACCGCGTCCGACGCTTTTTGATTCATGGCGGCTTGGAGCGCTCGAGGGCGGCGACTTGCGTCCGAGTGCCGGGACAGAAGCTGCACCAGCTAGTGGTTCCTGAGAGTTGAATGCCTAAGAGTACTTTGCAGCCATTGCTGTATTCAGTTTAGTCTGTTGACCGCTCTCAGTTCTAGTACATGATAGCCGAATCGTCATTCTGAGCTCTAGCTCTCCTGGCGCTTGCGCTTGCTGGCGAGA